CTATACAGTCTGATCACACCCTAAACACATGAAATTTCTTAGCTTGCTGACAACTTGTGTGTGGGTTCTGCAACACTTGGAGTTCTTTTGCCTTTCCTTATGTTTCCTTCCAAGCGAAGTGTATACTCTGGTTGAGACGAGATGCAGTCGCCCATGGGTGTGTCCTGATGGAGTTTCTGCCACACTCCATGGTCCTTCCTTTCAGGCATTCTCTGAAAGGAGTTCATTAAGTTTTAATGTTTGCACTGGCTCCTCCACCATTTCAATGCAGGATTTAAGTATTCTGTTTGAAGAGGTGAGGTATCATCTCAAAATTTAACATTTTCCTTACCTTCCCACCTGATCTTCCCACTTCTGGTGCACTTTCTTCTTGCCTAATCCAAGAATAAAGTTGAGTATTCATTGGAAATACATTTTTAGGTAAGGAAAATGTTAACTTTTGGTAAAAATTTCTATTTGATCTGTTATTTTCTCTACCATAACTCCAGTAGTTGATAAATTGTTAATGTACAGTGAAATGAAGAATTGAAAAATATTAAATTATATAAATACCATTTTGTACTCTGCACTGTCTGCGGTATTATTCAGAGAATTCCAAATTACTTATAACAGTTTAAACAACAACCTTTTCAGGTCTGCTTCCTTTTAATTTTATGTTTTTGTTTTAGTTCTTGTGTTGATTTTATTGGTATACTTTGTACCCACTGGGAGCCCATTAGCTGTTTCCGATAGAACTAACATAAACAGCATGTGATTATGAGGTGATGTTGTTCTCCATTGTTATTTTCTATTATGGCTGTAAAAAAAATATCATACATGATATTAATGCATTAATGCACAACCAATAAAAAAACAATGTAACACATATATTGTTAATTAACTGTCAATTTTGCCACTTATTTGCTTAATTAAAAAATGTCAATTTTGCCACTTATTTGCTTAATTAAAAAATGTCAATTTTGCCACTTATTTGCTTAATTAAAAAATGTAACTATTCCTGTTTATTTCTTCACTCAACCTGATGAACTGGAAAATGTGGAATTTTTTAATGCTGTAAAATCTACCTTGAGTCATCTTGGTTTTGAAATTTGACAGTGACCTTAACACTTGTTTTCATTTTGTCTTGGTGACCTTCTCCCCATTTTCCTTATAATTTGGTTAATGAATACTATATGATGGTTTTTCAAGAATCTTTAATGCCTTATAGATATGTTATTGAATTATTTATGCATATTTAAATTTTTACAGTTGAAATATTATTTGCTACCAAACTGTCAAAGAATGAGATTTTCTGATGGCAGTTTTCAACTGTGAAAATGAATTTTCAAAACCCTCCTGTTGAATCTTTCAATCTAATATTTTTTAACAACCATGTCAGAATATAATAAGTATACACACATCAGACTCTGTTTATTTCTGTACTATATGGCATGTGTTTGTGATTACTTATAGCAAAATGACACAGCACTTACATTTCGAACAAGATTGTATTTTACATTATCATTTTGAACATTTTTATTTTGTCTAAATCACAAATTAGAACAATTTCAAATAGTCAGAACTCAAGAGTGATGTTGACTTTGAAACTCTGAATAAGTGTTCTGTTACACTATTTGAAATGTCCAAAAGCAATATGGACTTCTAATAAGAATCCCTTATTGAAGCTTATTTTGTAAAATTGAAAAAAAAACATTTTAAATATAATGTTATTAGTAATTCAAATATGTTTAGCTTTGAAATTGAGAAATTGTTTTATATGTCTGCATAGAGGAAGGGGATAGCTCTTAGCCCAATTTTATTTCATATTATAAATGTGATGCTAACTCATTATCTCTGTTAATTAGCTGGGTGGTCATCAGGCATCAAACTACTTCAGTCTCAGCTGCAACTAAAGAAGGCTGCACTTACTCAAGCAAAGGTAATATAAAAATTTTGGTGCAATGATTATAAATAAATGAAATTTGTTAAGTTTAAAATAATTACACTCACAATTTAACCCCTAAATTCAAATAGTGCATGTCATAATGTTTTAGTTATTTTCAAAATTTAATTAAACAAATCTGTTATCAATATATTGATAAAATTGGCATCAAAATGTAGTTTATAATTCAAATTTTACTATTATATGTGTTTCAAGTTCTTATTTGAAAAAACTATTTAAAAAAAATGCTTATTACTCTTTTTGTGTGTCATGTAGCACGTCCTCTTGTCTTACTGCTCAGTTTATATTTTATTACTGCTACCGTACAACATTTATAGTGGTTAATGAATTAGAAACTCAAATTTCATTGACAAACTAGAATATAAAAGAACCTCCCACCTTTTTGATTTGCTGAGATATCAATATATTTAACAAATCTTCCAGTGTTTCTGTTGAAACCTCTTGTTTACTCATGCCTACTTCTCTTAGTACATGTTTATAACCAATAGAAAGAACATATTCCACACTATAAATAATCTGAAAGTCGTTTGTAATTGGCTTGAAGAGGAAAGCCATAGTTTTACTGGAAATGTTGAAGTCTGTTGACCAAGTCATTGCTTTTAACAGAAATGATATTTTTTTAACCCACATATAACTTAGTAAGAAAGCCAGGTAAGTTACATTTGTTTTATATATATACCAGTATAGTAATTTGATAATTTTTTGGTTTTCTAAAATGCATATTTGAAATCTAAAAAAATTAATTTGTCCCCCCCCCCCTCCACTTGAAAGAATACACAAGTCTTACAGTGAGACTTAGTAAGTACAAATCAGTTTTGTTACATCGTAAGTACTGGAAATCATTGTTTTTGCATATGTTTTTTATTTATTTTTCTACATTTTAAGAAAAATAACTAAAAATTAAACATTTTTGAGTAAATACTAATTTTACGTGTATATACATGTTCATAAACACTTTGTACACCTATAGTTCTAAATTCTGACCACCCCAGTAGGATAACTAACATCCAACTACCTACCAAGTTTATTGGATTGGCCCAGACTTTATACAGAACCATATCATAAACATTTTCTTGCACATTTATTACTTTAAACAATTCTTGTTGCAACCACTGTACTGCAAACAAGCTGATGTATCCTCTCCCACTTTGTTCTCAGAGCTGGGATTATGATAAACTCTGTGAGAAATTCTGGTAATTGCGCTGCATGTTCCTGTTTGCTATCTTTCTTACTTTTCACTCTGAAGATCAGTTGCATTTCAAGTTTTTCTCACCTATATTGACCTGGCCTTGCACCCTCCCCATGTTTTCTCTAGAATTTTAAGACCTTCAGTAGCTTTGTTGCATTATATGGGGCTAGATTTCCAGGATCACCCTGATAATTGGCATTAGTTTTCTTATTCTTTTATAACCAGAGCTTGTAGAACAAGGAGCTGCTTATTCAGGTCATCTTACATCTTGATTGGTATATCAAATGATAAAGACAAGACACTTGGTGCTAGCATAGTCCCTCCTTTGTCTGGGTATCATCTCAATTCTTAGAGTGCTGTCTTCTTAGTTCCTCTCTTGATGCCCACCCCAATGGCTCAGCAGTAAGTCTGAAAGCTTATAACTTCAAAAACTAAGTTTCAATAGCTGTGCTGTTACCACCATAGGTAGCCTATTGTGTAGCTTTGTGATTAACACAAACAAATCTTCTCTTGACTGGGTTTGCTTGTTGAAAATGTTGCTTGACCAAATTTTGTCCTTTTTATTTTCTGAGTACATTGGCTTCTTTGAATGCATTACACCCAGGGGCTGGGCACACTGTAACTTTGGAGAGGAGTGAAACATCTTGAGCATTCCCCCTCATTAAACTTTTTATACTTTGTTCGTCCACTATTTTCAATATTTTTTGATGGCTGGACAGGAGTTACACTACTGCAAGGGTACTAGCTTTAAATCTCTTCCTCAGCTTCATTAGTTGACATGTTTTTCTGATAGCATAAGGAGGTGTGGGCTATGTTTAAAACCTGTCACTGCTTTTAGTTTGAGATTTTAGAAAGGGTAGTGCTGGTTCATTGAACATTTACAAGATCTGTAGTTGCACATCTTAATGGTTTTCTTTTTTTTTCTTTACAACCAAATGTGTAAATGTTGTTATACTATAGATATGGGAATATGTTGTGTTTTTGGAATAATTTGCATATATTTGTATCCTAACAAACATTTTTACAAGATAGAATCATATCTAAATTATCTTTGTCATTCAATATTTTACCATTGGTATAGTTTTTAGATGATTTTTACATGTTGATTGCCAAAGAGCTTTGAGTGGTAGTTTGTTAGAAACCTCTGATAAACAAGAAAGAAAGCTAAGGTCATTGTTCTCCTCACTCTCACAACACACACACATATACATACAGGCTAGATATTTAGCAGAGCTTAAATTACAAGTGATATTTTCCTTCTCAGACTTCTATTAAGTTCATTGTTGCTTTATTAGAGCATTGTCAATTTCTGAAATATTTCAATATAAAGTTGTTACTGTTTAACGATCTGAAATGACTAGATTTTAACAAGCAACAAGTGATTTCTCATTTCCCCACCAATAGGAATTTGTTTATGTTATTTCTTTAATTAAGATCATTCTTGAAGAATTCAGTATCATTCACTGCTACCTGAATCATTATTTACTGTTTGTTTTATGGTTTTTTTATTTTTAGAGAGAACAGACCAAAAAGGGTACTGTCTTAGCTCCTGTGGTTGATTTAAAATCTCGTAAAGATGAGCAAGAAGAAACACCTCCTTTGCCAGCCATAGGATTGTCCCAGGGAAGGGTAAGTTTGTGTTTTATTTTGATTTTTTAAAATAAGCTATTATGTGTTTGATGCTTTTATTTGCCATTTAGTTGATTTGCATCCTATAAAAATGTTAAATTATGCTTTTTTACAATAAGATTCTTATGTTCTTTTTAAAATATTTTTTCATTTTTCAATATTTAAAAGCAGTTTTTCTTTTTTTCTTTAATTTTTGTCAGGTTTCAAAATCTTTCACCACTGACTGGAAGGTCTTCACCTGTTTAACCCTTTTTAGTTGATTATCTCATGTTTTTTTACAAGGGCAAATAACATCATTAAAGCTTAAAAAATTCTATCTGTTTTTTGCATCCTATTTCTTGCAAAATAAGTAACTAAAATTCAAATGTTAAGAACTTAGAATCTTGTTTTGATGCATTTTTTATTAAAATTTGTTTTGGTTAGAGTACAAAAAAATCTAAATGGCTAACCTATCTAATTGTAATTTTTATTTGGGAAGTAGAAATATTTAAACTTCACACCTGCATAGAAAAACTTGTCTGCAATGAAATAAGATTGCAAATATGTGGTTTTTATTGCTTATTTCAACTTCATTGTTTATTTTACAACTTCAAAACTTCTAAAGCTAACAGAATTAAATGTACCACCTGAAAGGTGGGATTATTTCTTTCCTCACAATTTATCATGTCTAAAACCTTTTTTTGATCATATACCTCTAAGTAGTCTAATTATATCATAGCTTTGTTTTTATTTATATTTTAGGTTATAGTAATAAATAAATTTTATTGCACATGCTTATTTGCAAAATACAATAATGCAGTAGAGCCCACTTTAAAAGAAATTTGAAATACAATGTTTTGCATATTGTCAAAATTAATATAAATAGATAGTTCTTAACTCACTATATCTTATTTATAATAGCTGCCTTTGTAATCCTTTCAGAAATTATACACAGCTGTTTCAAAAAAACAAAGCCAACTGTTAAGACTCTACAGTTTCAATTTACAAGGAGTTTTATAAAGTGAAAAGAAACTGTCAAGGTAATTACTTCAACAAAATAAACAAGTAAGCAGAGGAACTAAATTTTGGAAATCAGATCAACCGTTATGGGCATTTTGTTAGTTATATTGTCTAAGTTAGGTTTTTTTTTTTCATTATAAATTTCAAATTTACCATAAAGATCTAACTTAGGTTCAGAAACATTGAATTGTTATCACACTTTATGTTTGAAGTTTAATACAACTACAGAAGTGGTCAAAATAATTCTACTGGACTGGAAAGGATTAATTTGTGAATGTGAGAATACGGTACCTAACTTTATTGATGATCAAACAGTACAACAAAACTTGGTTTAAACATATATCATTCACATTAAGCACAAATATTGCTTTAATATTTTATTTTGTGTATAATAGCCATAACTTAGCAGTGAAAATGGAAATGTTTATAGATTTAATAAAAATAATGCTCCAATTTCTGTTCGTTAACCCATTCTCTTTAGACACTTCTCAACTTAAAAATGCTGTTACATGTATAGCACATAAAGATTGCTAAGATTTCAGTTGTTTTTGTTAGAAATTTCTGTTGGAAAGGACATTATGTGTATTGGTAATTTGAAAAATGTGCAGTCAAAATGCTATTGCACACACTTACTGAAAAAAAAATGGTTAGTAAATAAAATTATTATCATCTTCTTGTAACATCACATAAGCTATTGATAAACAGAATATGCTTCATCAGTGTAAGCATTATACACCATAAAGCTTGATGTCTTTTACAATATTGATATGTATAAGGTATCAACTGAGGTTTTGTGCATTGGAAACCTGGCTGACCTGATGAGTTCTGTCATTGAGCAAAAGGTCTCGTCAACAGTGATGTGCAGTTGAAATGCTACTGTACATTCTTTAATACTGGAAACTCATATGGGGCCAGTAACGAAAGATGTGAATAAAATTATTATCAGTCTTTTTGTGATGTTATAACACAGAAGCTACTAATCAACAGATTAAGCTTTTCCATTGTAAAGATTATATACTATGAAATCATTACCTGTATTTGTAAAGTGAAATTTGAGGGAGCTTTCATTTTCTCATGATTCTTTTCAAGTTATGTAGTGATCACACAGAAAATTCTCATTTTATATAATATTTCAACATGAGAAAAATAAAGATTGTAGGTTTGGAAATGCACAAGTTAATAAGCTCTTAGATGATATTGTTTAGGGTATGTCAAACTTAAATTACACCATTATCATTGTATATTACAATGTAATTTCTTTAACTTTAGCATATTAATCTTCATACTATTGTTATGATTCATTAATATGGACTTCTGATCAAAGCAAGCTATATCTGCATAGGTCAGAGGTAAAAAATTAACTCAGTAATAAATGTAGCTAATGTAATATACTGATTGTATTGATGTGGTTAGTAAAAACCCAGCATTTTGGTAACTTTGGTATGCTATTACTTGTGAATTTCAACAAAACCAACAACTGACTAATCCAATTTAGTTTTAGGAGGCACAAGTTTTGCACCTTTTAATTTATTGTTGTTTTTGTAGCAGCAGTTGCCCTTATATTTAAACTTGTTTCTTACATCTACATGTATTAGCTGTTACATGTCTTCATAATAATGTTATACTTTGTTTTACACAGTTGGGCTACCTTCCTATGTTTGACTGACTTGAATACAATCAAAACCATTTTATGATTTGTAGCTAAACATTCCATGACTTATCCATCGTTCAGATTTGACCACTATGTGATAACCAACTGCTACTGATAAATTAAGTTTACACATTACATACTTAAGCTAGAGATCCTCAAATACCTTGTATTTTATGGTACACTGGGCCTCCGTTATACATTACATTGCTTTATGTAATTTCATTATTAGACTGTTCACCAGTTACTACCCATGTATCAAACAACATTGCCTTGTTTCTTTACTAGAGTGTTTCAACGTTGTCAACTACTCTTCCAGGTGTAGCTTTTACCAACTACTACCAGTAGTTTTGAAACAGTGTCCCCTTGTTTCATTACTAGAGTGTTAACCCTCTCTGCTTGGGCATTCTTTACTGAGCATGTCACGAGGGTTTTAGTGAGTTACATTCAAAATTAATTAAACTAATTTTTGTTTATGTTATACGAATTAGTATGGCATAAAATCATAGCTAATAATCCATATTTTAATGGTGTATAAGTTTAAGTTCTTAATTTTGTAAGGCAATATTTAAAAAAATTCTGAATTTCCCCCACTGTGAGAAATGTGAATTTTTTTTCTCTAGGCATCTCCTCTTTAATTAATTCACCATCATTTCAATAAGTACAAAATTTAACAAAAATTAAGCACTATAATAACGTTATTGCTCTGACAAAACCTT